GTAGACCAGGCTGGCCTCGAACTCACAGAGATCCACCTGGCTCTGCCTCCCGAGTGCTGGGATTAAAGGCGTGCGCCACCACCGCCCGGCGAGACCCTATCTTAACAGCAACAAAATTGAAGGTTATTGATAATCTTAATGTAAAGCCTGGAGCATCTATATGGACAATTTACACTTATGTTTTTAGCCACTAGGTAATATTTAAGGCAGTTTTAAATTAGTGTTTTCCTTAGAATAGTGGAAACAGATTCTTAATAGCATATTGTGCTTGAATATACATAGATACTCTAAAAAAATCTAAGCAAAGATTTCAGACACTAGTTATAAGTTCTACTTTGGGTTTAAATTGAATGCATGTATAGTTGTATATTTTGCTTAGAATGTATATGCAGTCATGCTCCTGATGTCAAATATTAAAACCCATTTCATCAGGTCTATGAGAAAGTACTCTAGAGAGTATCCCATGTAGAAATAAAGAATGACGGTGACTATAATTCAATGATACAAACAGCATGAGTATTCTACATTGCCACCTTCAGCCACATCCTCATGATTCAAAAATCTAAATGAAAATGAAAGAAAAAGCCCTGCTTCCCCAAGAAAAGTCTGGGGTCTGTTTTGTTTTGGCCAACTACTCCTGGGCACAGTGCTTGCCCTGGATCGTGGTTGATACATCTAGTGATACTCCACAGAAGACTTATTTCCCCTTTTCCAGAAGTATTAATTGCAGATAGCTTCTTGGTTAGGGGTGGGAATTCATGTCCATTTCCCCTTTTCTATGTTGGGACTTTGTCTGGTATGAAGTTATGCATGTTTTAGTCTTAGGGGCATAGTCAGAAAAGGGTAGGTATGGTGATATTTTAATTGTACTGAAATGTGATTTTATTTGTATGTTAATAAATAAAGTTGCCTGGGGGTCAGAGCTAATAGCAAGCCATAGCAGAGCTTGGCGTGCAACCGCTTGGGGCTACAGGTAGGTATGGAGGTTGGTAGGCTCTGAGAGAAACTGGGGAACTGAAAAACAGATTAAAATATATTGTATGAAAAAATTAAAAAAAAAAACACCAACAACCCAGAATACAGCATACAAACAAAAACTCGTGTGTGTGTGTGTGTGTGTGTGTGTGTGTGTGTGTGTGTGTGTGTGTACACAGCAAGCTTTCTCGGTGCTTTCTTCACCAGGCCCAGCACGTGACTCTCTCTGGGCATGCCTGTTGCCAGGTGAAACCGAAGAAGTTGAAGATAAGGCCTGACCCAACTTTGGCCTATTAACTACTGAGTCAGAATACATCTTGGGACAGAAGATGCCAGAAGCAAATATTTTGAAATATCTGAAAGCAAAGGTTAAACATGTTGACAATAACAAACACACTGGGCTCCGTTGGCCATTTCCATTGCCTGCTTTAGAGGTTGCCTTATTCTCTGTGCAAATATTTGTTGACTTGGGAACCCGCAAAAGGACAAAGAAGAAATGAACCTTTGTCCGTGACCTTACGCTTTGGCTTATAGTCATTAAAATGATAAGACCGAATGAGCTGACTTTTGTTTGGCTATTTCCATTTCTCTTTTCCTCTTCGACTTTCCCTAGACACGTCTTCCATTGTTAATACTCTCTATAGTTCAAAAATCTTTTCAGATGTAAAATTCTCTCTTTCAGTTATCGGTTGGCTTTAATTTTTAATGCTTTTCTTCCCCAACTCTCTTAGTTGGAGTTTTCTTTTTGGTGGATCTAATCTCCCTGGCAGCTGGCTTCGTCTGTATCACTTCATCCTGCTCACATAAATATTGTCAAAACATTCCCTTCTATTTAACCCCAGAGACAGCGCTAATAGATGAAAAATGGGTTACACCTTTTCTTTCTTTCAGAGAGTTGGTAGCTGCTTCTCATGACGTGTTTGTATCTTAGCAGCTGCTAGGCTTAGAAAATATTGATATCTGATGCCCAGGTCCTTTTCTGGTTATCATTGAGTATATATTTTTCTATCCATTTGACTATTAATATTTTGAATTTTATGATATTTTATGGTGATATTTTATTGTGATTGCCCTTAAGCTGTAATTTTTTTTTATAAACTATCTTCATGGCACGTAATCTTTTAACTCATGACCATGGTCTCAGTTATTTAGAAGCACTGCTACCCTAGTTTAAAGTCTTGCTCTACGAATTCTTTCTTATTTCATTTTACTTTCATTTTTAAAAATTAAAATATAGTTAGATCATTTCCTCCCCCTCTTTTTTTTTAACCTCTACTCCCTCCCATGTTCTTTCCTCAACCTCTCTTAAATTCATGGTCTCTTTTTCTTTAATTATTATTGTCACACACACAAATATATAAATATACAAATATATAAATGCAAACTGTTGAGTCTATTTAGTGTTGCTTGTAGGTGTATGTTCTCATGACTGACCACTTGGTATTAGATAACCCCAGGGAAGACTAGTTCTTGCTCTCAGTGGTCCTGAATTGGCTGTAGCTCTTTGTCTAGGAATTGGGCCCTGTGAGATTTTTTTTCTTCCATCTCAGCACATCAATTGGAGTTGTTCTCACTAAGGTCTTGTTTAGGCAGCTGTATTGTTAAGGTTTCCAGGGTATGGTGGTTTGAAAGAAAATGGCTCCCAAAGGGAGTGGGGCTATTACGAAGTGTGGCTTTTTTGGAGTAGGTGTGGCCTTGGTGGAGGAAGTGTGTCACTGTGGAGATAGGCTTCGGGGTCTCATATGTGCTTAAGCCAAGCCCACTGTCTCAGTTCACTTCCTATTGCCTTTGGATCAAGATACAGAATTCTCCAGCACCATGCCTGCCTGCATGCTGCCATACTCCCAGATGCCATGTTCCTTGCCATGATGACAATAGGCTAAACCTCTGAAACTGTAAGCCACCACCTCAATGAAATGCCCTTTTAAGAGTGGTCATGGTGTTTCTCAACAGCAATAGAAACTCCAACTTAGACAATGGGTTCAGCTTTCCTGTCATTTCTAGGAGACGCAATCCTGTTGTAGACTCTCTGGTTCTTTGGCCCTTACAATCCTTCTGTCCTCTCTTCAGTGATGTTCTCTGAATCTTAGGCGTGGTGGTTGTGTTGCTGCTGTATCAGCTGCGGACAGGCACCCCAGGATCAGCTGTTCTCTGCATTTTGAGAACTTGTGAGCCACCGTGTGGTTGTTGGGAATTGAACTCAGGACCTCTGGAAGAACAGCTAGTGCTCTTAACCACTGAGCCATCTCTCCAGCCAACAAGTTGTGACTTCCTATAACAGTATCTTCTATAATAGTGTCTGTGTGAAGAGATGCTTCTTTGATGAGGTGTGAGCTTCACTCATCTGTGGGTCTAGTCTAAGTATTTAGAATGCAGTTAGGAATTATACTAGGTTAGGAAAGTGGCTGTAGGAGGTTTTCTTCTAAGATCTGTGCCTCACTAGCCCTAGGTAGGTTTCCAGTACCAGGCATGATTTTCCTCCCGCTGAGCAGGCCTTGGGTCCAGTTAGAGAGTTAATGTTACCACAAAGGTATGAGTGCCACTATTGTACTTTTGTGGATATCAAGAGCTACTATTGTACTTTTGTGGATATCGGTTCTTTTTTTTTTTTTTTTGTAAGTCTTTTTCTTAAAAAAAAAAGATTTATGTATTTATTATGTATAGTGTTCTGCCTGAGTATATGCCTGCAGGCCAGAAGAGGGCATCAGATCCCATTCTAGATGGTTGTGAGCCATTATGTGGTTGCTGGGAATTGAACATAGGACCTCTGGAAGAGTAGTCAGTGCTCTTAACCGCTGAGCCATCTCTCCAGTCCCAGGATATCAGTTCTTATTATATATAGAAAAGGAAAATATTACCTGATTTGGAGAAGAATCAATAAAAGGTAAGAAACCAACATCACTTCATCTGTTGTGTTTCTACTCTTTCCTTAGGACAACTACACAAGGTTTGAAAGTTTATATAAATGTCAGATTTTTCACAATAATATGACACGCAGCTTTTCTGGAACCTCCCCAAAAACCAAATATGAAAACACATCTTAAAATACAAAAATGTATATTTTACTAATATATACTTCTAAGTTTATCCAAATGGTGCTCTTTCTAGGAAACACATTCTCAATGTGTTTGCTGAAGATCTTGGTTAGTGATAACTTTATTCACTTTAATAACTTTCTGTTATTTTGTCATAAATGGGTATCCCTTAGATTCCATGCCTTCCTTGGATCTAGTCAAAGGATCTTTATGTTAATTTAGTTGAGACCCTTGTATCAGGCAGAAAAAAGTAACATTGATGGTTTGTGAAGTTTTGGGCTTGATGTAGTGTGGGGCCTAAACCCAAGGAGACTGGCTTGCTTAAAGCTGGCGGTCTCATCTTCCATGTATCTCAGAGTCATCTGGAGGGGTTCAGAAGCTGCATGTGTTTGAGCCCAAAGAGTAGAAATTTCATTAGAATTGACTAGAGAAGGGAACAGGCCAGAATGGAGTATTTCAAATCCCTCTGAGTGGATTCTAACGCATACAGTTCCTAACCACTGACTTAATAATCCGATCTGGCCCAGGTATGCATACAGCCCAACTCTGTCTGTAAGGCCTGGACAAACCCTGCAATGGTTCTTCTCCTTGGAGCACTAAAACGTGACTTAACGGCTGGCTCCCCAGTAG